CAGAATGTATTTCTAGATTAAAACCGCTTTCATCTGCATTATAAGTTGATCCTTCACCAGTTATAGCAATATGTGGTTTTACATTTGTCACAAATTCTTCTGCATTTTGATGTATCAGTGCATCAGCTTGTAAATTAGATTGCGTTTTAAATTTCGTTATTTTACGTGATGTAATGCGATGAGCTTTTTTAAAATTCCATATCCACCAATGTCCTGCTTTAAATGTAGCAAAATTCACTTGCTCCTTTGCTTCTAGCGCCCACCTTCGCAAATCGATGTCATGAATAATAGATCCTCTATCAACAGTTTCTTGAAATTTTATTAATACATATTCGGCAATGAATATCAATTTGTCTCTGTTTGTCCCTCCACGCATTATATACTCCTGCCATCTGTACAATTGCGAAACATGTTTTACCTAAAAGAGAAAAAAGATCCAATATTTAAAAGATTATATCAAACACAAGAAAATTAATCGAATGCAGATGAACATGCGACATGAAACGTTGTTCCTGACTTCTGTTTATTATCCACTATGATATTCATACACGTTTATCTATATTTAGTTAGTATTGTACTTATTTTTTAATGAGAATTTACCTTTCTAAAACGATTCTGTACAACAGAAACGGATAAACGTCTTTTTTTCCACTGTTCCAATATTCAACCGCTTTTCTTTTATAATTTAAATCTACACTTCCACCCTTCGTCATCTACAATACAAACTTCATCTTCATAGTTATCTTCTTCAGCATGAGGATCATACGAATCTACAAACTGTACAGCTTGAGGTTCCGATGGATCATCAAAATCAAGTCCCCAATCATATTCAATCGTAATATCGTCTTTTAGAGAATCCCTTATTAAATTTGAAATTGCATCGTGGAGTTCTACTTCACGATGATTAACAGGAGTGACAGCGAGATTTGCAATGTAAAACGTTGTAATTAACAAATTTATAACGTTCGCCGTATTTATGGCCAACATTTTGACATAAATGCTTGAATAAATGTTATATGAAACTTTCCCACAGAAAGTATCACACGTACAATATATTAAATAACATGAATGAAATGCAGAAGCGGATGGCTTTTATACTAATTGTATAAGGAAAACGATAACATTAAAGATAGCCTTCCCATAACCTTTCCTTTTATTGCATCACATCAATCTCGATAATCCTTCAACCTTTCAACTATTCAAAGTTGATAACGTTCTCATAAATATAATGACGTACATAACAGGAAATATTACATATACGTTAGTGCATCCGTGTTTATTTCATTCTAGACGATAATCTTTAATTTTTTTTAAAAGGTCTAAATCAGAAATTACTTTATCGATAACTTTGATTTTTCTCTTACGATATATTTTGACTACTATATTATTTATAAAATGTGTAATATATAAAAATCAGTTACGTGATTAGATTTATTACGAACATCTGTTTCATCGTTATCTTGTATTGCGAAAAATTACAGAGAGAAGGGGAGAAAGAGAAGTCGTAGCCAAAATTAGCGGGCCGATAAAATTGACAGCATACCCTGTAAGGATGTTTTCAGTTTATTTCTCAAAAACACGTTTACGGATCGCAACTTTATTATATATGGTTGAATTTGGCGTGAAATAAACTTTAATTTTAGTTGCAAGAAAAATTTAAATATGAAAAAAAAGATACGTGGTGGGGGTATTTTGAAAAATTAAACATTTTTGCAAAATATGATCATGCCATTATAAAGAGCTTTCGAAACCATAAAACTTTTGCTGGAAACATTTTTTTATATTTCTCATTATTTCGGCGATATTCGCTTGAAAACGTAAACACCGATTTTATTTAAGGGGATGCTGCACCCCTAAAACCGAATATCAGCAGCTAAAAAAAATTGTTTCGTGATTAGGTTCATCTACTCTGTGAGGACGTGACGCGCGGGGCCCTCTCGCCGGAGCAATGAGGCACCGGCGGGAAGGCAACGCCGTCCACGGAAGGGGGTTCCTCTCCTTCAGAGAGGAGCCCTCTGGTGAGGGCTCCCCTGGTGGAACGCCGAACCGGGTCACCCTCTAGGGGGTTCGGGGGTCGCGACCACCGGGGGGGCGGGGGGCGATGGCTCGAGCGGGAGCTCTCGAGCCATGACCCCGCCCCCCAAACTCTTTGGGAGGGCGCGGCGCGGGGTCGGTGTCGCCCTGCGCCGCAACCGGGACGAAACCGCGCAGTCATTGACTGCGCGGTCGGGGAGGGGTCTTGGCCGCAAGGCTATGGCAGCTCCACGGAGATGGCTTGGCGGGGGGCGGCGAGACGGCATGGGATTCCAGCATCCTCGCCGTCCCCTATCCAACGCCCGAGGTGGACACCCGCTGGGGTTTTAGTGAGGTAGGTCTTGGGCCCCCTGGTCGAACCATTTGTGGCTCGACCAAGGGGAACAAGGAGTCCCACATAACCCGCACCCCTACCCGGGGGTGTGTGGTACCATGACGGTTTCTCCAGCGTCACAAAAAAAAAAGGTTCATCTACTCTAAACTTATACAAAGTTTCAGATTTTTTTGAATTTTACACTTGCCGAACTTCCCTTGTTAGTACACGAAACAACGATGATTATATTAACGATAACCATAATTTAGGTAGTGCCAAATTTGATCATATTATAAAATTACCTTATGTTAAAGAACTTAGCGATGATTTGGCGATATTATTACAAACTACGGGTATGCAAAGCGTTTACAGTATACCAAAGAAATTGACTTTATTAATTAAACGTGTAAAAGACCCTATCCTGTAAAAGAAAAAACAGAAGTAGTGTATAGAATTAATTGCGGAAATTGTCCTGCATCATATATAGGTCAAACTAAACGACAATTAGGCATACGTGTAAAGGAACATTTCAATAACATCAAGGTACATAGTAGTAATTTTTCGGTCATTACTAATCATAAAATTGATATGCGACATGATTTCGATTGATCTTCGCCCAAAATTTTACACCATGAAAAATATGTCAGGAAACGAGAAATAGCGGAGATGTTTTTCATCAAGAAATTTGACAACAATATTAACTTACAAAAAGATACTGACAATCTAAACAATGTCTACGAAAAATTATTAAAGGTCGTTTAGTCTGATCTAGTGATTGAGTATATAAATAGTTCCGTATTGACACATTAATATAGTTAGTTCGTAACACATTATCATGACATTACATCACGTCATGACCTAAGATCAAAAAAGTAGTGTTTGTTATAATAAAGCGGTATTATGTAGGTTGGTATATTAATAGTTAAGCACCTAATTTGTATTATTTTGTAATATTATCAATTTAATTATATATTAATTGTTTATAGCACTTGATAAGGGCCAAAACCCATGGCCGAAACGTCGTAAAGTTTTAATAAATATTACTTATAGCCAGATATGGTTGATGAAATTATTACCATTTTTAATTATCAACTGGTGGCTTCTTAGTTATATATATATATATATATATATATATATATATAAACTTAAACAATATTTGATGTTGTTATTAACAGATAAGTCAGAACAAGACATAGATATTGTCAGGGTTGGGAAAGTTACTTTGTAAAAGTAACTAGTTACAGTTACAGTTATTTCATTGAAAAAGTAACTAGTTACAGTTACAAGTTACCGATTTTAAAAAATAACTCGTTACAGTTACAGTTACTCTAAAAGTAACGAGTCGTTACTTTTCAGTTACTTTTTAAAAATAATTATACATTGTTTTAAATATAAGGAGCTTACATTTTATGCACAATTACAGTCAAGTATTTAAAAAAATTCTTGAATGTAATATTGATCGATTTGTTTGCGACTTTGCAATTAACATCAATGTATGAATGACCTTTATATACAACAGTAAAAATAGTTATAGTAAGTTACTAAATGGTAATCGCAAAGTCGCAAGCAAATCGATCAATTATTACCTTTAAGAATTTTTTTAAATATTTGACTGTGATTGGTCGATCTTAATTGCGTGTTATATTATTTTATGTACACAAAATGAAAATTTTAGGTAAAAGATTAAATCATATGAAGATCCATATGCTACTGTTATCAAAATTTAATTTAATAATATAACGGCTACCATACTTAAACAATACTTTTAGCGCATGTTTCCAAAAAAAGTAACTAATAAAGTAACTATTAAAATAGTTACTAGTTACTAAAAAAATGTTAACATGTCACAACTGTCCGGAACCGATTTGATTCTCCTTGAAATATGTTGTTAAATACACAAATCTAAAAGACACGTATTTTTTATACGTGCGCAATTTGAGTTTTAAGGGGTGAAACACCCCTTTAAAGAATAACGGTATTTTCTTTAGGATCAAATATCTGCTAAACTATAAGAGATATAAAGAAAAAACGTACAACAAATTTTAATGGCTTGAAGAGTACTTTAAAGTTATATGAACAAAAATTTTTTTTTTTTTTTTTTTTTTAAAAAACCCTCACCACCTAATTTTTTTTTTCAAAATTAAAAATTTTGTTTTACCTAATTTAAAGCTTATTTTTTTCCAAATTCAACCATGTGTAATAAAGTTATGTTACGAAATATCATTTTCGAAAATTAATTATAAACGCTCCCGTATATACGCTCATCCGTGCTATGTGCGTAAGTAATTACCGTCGAACAATAAAATATATAAAAAATGTTTTTGTATAATTCTTATTTATGTTTTCTATGTATTTATAACTGCGTATTGTGTATATTTAGATTTAAAAAAAAATTTTTAAATATAATTAATAAGAATTTTTTAAATATACCCCCTGCTTTCTTATTATTTCTTTAATATTTAATTTCTTCTATAAAAATTAAAAACAATTATATTTTATAATAAAATTATTTTTTAATTGAATCTTGCGAATACCAATGTCGCAATATTTGGCATAAACAAATTTTATATCTTACGTTAAATGAATCATAAGATAAGATTATGTGTACGTGTTCCAGATAAGTTATAATTTTTACAATAAAATCTTTAATACGTTAAAATAAATAATAAAATAAGATTATGTGATGACGTATTTCTGATAAGTTAATATAAATTGTTCATGTAGCAGCATAATTCTCACAGTCGGTGTAGTCTTTTCGTTGTAATAATATCTGTGTAAACTGTTCTTTTATTGCAATAGAAAGCAAAATATAACATCTTTGAATATGATTATCAATCCGCTTAACGTTGTTAGACTTTTATTGGTGTCAATAAATTCAATATATTTAACAGAAACGCCAGTAACTGAAGCAGAAGTGGAATTAAAGGAAAACATTAAAAAAATATTACTGGATAGCGTTTTTCATTATAATGGGGTGGAAGTAACGGAAGAAATATATCTCGATTATGAAGAACCTTATAAATTACATAGTTTTGAAATAATTGAAGATGACGAAGAAGCATGGCATGAAGATAGTTTAAATTCTCATCCTCATTGTTCAAATGATGATACAAATTTTGATAGTTCTTATAAAAGACGAGCTGTTGAGTATTGGCGATTTCGGGACACTGATGAAAACAGTAATGACAGAAAAAGGAATCGTCCTCTAAGAGTAGTACAAAATAAATTTAGAAGAGTTTCATCTGAACGTCAGTTAAGGCGATGGGAAGAACAAATACAATCAGGTGGAAGTCGTACAGAAAAATTATCTTACATCTCCAAATTTACACATGATAAATTTACTGCAGCTGTCGAATCAGGATTCATGGTTCATGATATTGATTTAAAAAGATGGGCTTTACAAGCTCAAGAAGAAATAGGAAATTTAAATCCTATATTTAAAGCATCTCACAGTTGGATAGCAAGATTTAAGAAGTCTCACCGAATTGTTTCAAGAAAAGTTACGAAGTTTGTCACTAGAAGAACATTAGAAGATTCTGCTGATTTGCAAAAATCAGCTGATGATTTTCTGGAAACAGTAAAACCTCTTATTGAACAGTTTGGATCTGAAAATATTTACAATTCAGATCAAAGTGGTTTCCAATTGGAACTTCACTCTGGAAGATCATTGTCTAACCAGGGAGAAAAGAAAGTAGAACGTGTCGTGCAATCCATATCATCAACAACCCATTCATATACGATACAACCAATAATATCCTGTAATGGCAATTTGTTGTCCCCTTTATTTATTGTATTAAAAGAAGCTAATGGTAAATTTGGACCAAGAGTACAAGAAAATTTATTTAAAGCAGAAAATGTTATTGTAAAAGCATCGAAATCTGGTAAAATGACATCAGGTATTTTCCTTTTATAATTACTTTTTTTAACAACCTTATTTTATTTAACAATTTAATAAGAGTCATAAAAAACTATTAAATTAACATTTATATTTTGTACAGATCATTTTAAAATGTGGTTAGAAGAAGCTTATTTCGCAAACATTGGTCCTAATAGCGTTCTTCTTATCGATTCATGGACTGGACATTGCCCCAATATGATTTCGGATTTAACACCTCCTGGAACACATATTACTACTATGATAATACCGAAAGGAACTACAGGGAAAATGAACCATGAATCCTGATTCGACAGCTGCAGTAAATTTATCATGTGTAAATTTGGAGATGTAAGATAATTTTTCTGTACGACTTCCACCTGATTGTATTTGTTCTTCCCATCGCCTTAACTGACGTTCAGATGAAACTCTTCTAAATTTATTTTGTACTACTCTTAGAGGACGATTCCTTTTTCTGTCATTACTGTTTTCATCAGTGTCCCGAAATCGCCAATACTCAACAGCTCGTCTTTTATAAGAACTATCAAAATTTGTATCATCATTTGAACAATGAGGATGAGAATTTAAACTATCTTCATGCCATGCTTCTTCGTCATCTTCAATTATTTCAAAACTATGTAATTTATAAGGTTCTTCATAATCGAGATATATTTCTTCCGTTACTTCCACCCCATTATAATGAAAAACGCTATCCAGTAATATTTTTTTAATGTTTTCCTTTAATTCCACTTCTGCTTCAGTTACTGGCGTTTCTGTTAAATATATTGAATTTATTGACACCAATAAAAGTCTAACAACGTTAAGCGGATTGATAATCAATTCAAAGATGTTATATTTTGCTTTCTATTGCAATAAAAGAACAGTTTACACAGATATTATTACAACGAAAAGACTACACCGACTGTGAGAATTATGCTGCTACATGAACAATTTATATTAACTTATCAGAAATACGTCATCACATAATCTTATTTATTATTTATTTTAACGTATTAAAGATTTTATTGTAAAAATTATAATTATCTGGAACACGTACACATAATCTTATCTTATGATTCATTTAACGTAAGATATAAAATTTGTTTATGCCAAATATTCGACATTGGTATTCGCAAGATTCAATTAAAAATAATTTTATTATAAAATATAATTGTTTTTAATTTTTTAGAAGAAATTAAATATTAAAGAAATAATAAGAAAGCAGGGGGTATATTTAAAAAATTCTTATTAATTATATTTAAAAATTTTTTTTTAAATCTAAATATACACAATACGCAGTTATAAATACATAGAAAACATAAATAAGAATTATACAAAAACATTTTTTATATTTTATTGTTCGACGGTAATTACTTACGCACATAGCACGGATGAGCGTATATACGGGAGCGTTTATAATTAATTTTCGAAAATGATATTTCGTAACATAA